TCATTGTTTGCATTTCATGGGCCACATTGAACAAACAGTAGGCCACCCCCGTGTGTCTGTCTCCGTTTTTTCAACGTGCCGAGCCCGAAGTTAAAAGGCTAACTGACTTTCTTATTCAATTTGTATACAGTCTCTATCAGTGGATTAGCTGGATGTTTTTGTTGTAATTGATTCATTTTCTTCGAATGGCGGTACGAGTTCCCTCCTAGGTCATTTTTTAGAGCAGTGGTGCTGTTTGCCCCTTCCTTTTCCTCAATTTGAAATTCATACTACAATTAGGTTATTTATACTTTTTTAATCGCCTGTTTTATCCATAATGGGCAATAAAATCATTGTATATTTCACGTTGACGTACGACTTTTGGTGTCTCCTGGGAACGCGTATAAAACCAATCCAGTTGCACTCTGCTATTGAACATTGCATTAAGCTTGGACACTTTTATGCTTCAAACCTTGCTAAATAAACTCAGCCCTAGTGGAACTTGTGGAGGGGTCGTTGGGGGAAGAGGAGGGGGGGGGGGGGGGGGTGGAGGTTGTAGGATGTCAATCCTTCGCCGGACTAATTGAAGCTTTGTCCGGATTAATTGCCAAGATATCACGAACAGCATGCGCCTGCATACTTACATGACTAACAGGCAGCTTCGAGGCTATCTGCAAATGGCTCTGCGTCATGCTGTTCACTGTCCACAAAGAACTAGCTCTGGTCAAGCAAGTATAAATTAGTTTTCACAGGTCATGGCATGGAGTGGTATCAAGGCTTATCCTTTAAGGCGAACTAATGGCTGAAGCAGGTTGCCCTTTGCCCTAGGTTATTTTATTTATTTATATCAAATGGCAGGCGTTTTGATGGTTATCATTAGCCCTTTAGTTGACTTCAGGCTTCACAGAGGGGAAGGAACATCAAAGTGAAAAATAGTCGAGAGGAGGGGAACTGAAGAGTGTTTCAAGGACGAAGGTTGAAAATTTAGAAAAAAATGTGATTTAGTACTGTGGAAGTGGTCGAATATGTCATACAAGGGGGGCCTTGGTAGTTTGAAGTCAACTGCCGGTTAATAGACTTTTTTGTCGTATGAGTATACGTTGCCCAGGGTGCACCACGTGGAGGTAAGTCTATCGCACACCCCCCTCCCCTTGCCCTAGATTCACACGTGCGATAGTAAAACACAATAAACTATAGGAACTTTTAGGAAACGTCTTAAGAGTAAAAAGACAATAATTGCTACCCAAATTGTAAAATCCACATTGAAACAGCATGAAACCTCAATTATACAGTGCTTCTTGACCATTTATAGGGTGAGAACGGTCGGCTACTCTTCTATATTCGTTCAGTCTGGGCCTTAAAGACACCTGCCGGCCAACGCGGTATCCCCTTTAGTGGCAATATGATGGACAATAGTGCACCAGGTCGCCAATTAGTAGACCCTATCAAAATTTTTAAAATCACTCCCGATGGGGGAATTGAGTCGCTCGTTGAATTTGATCGAGAACATGTTGCGATGTATCTCCTTTCGGTTGGGGTGAGGGATAATGGAAGCAAACCCTACTCCACCTACGCGTCAGTGCTAGTTCAAATCTTGGATGAAAATGACAATGCACCAGTGTGGTCGTTTCCTACTGAAACTGCTAGACAGATTAATATTACAACGGCTAATCCCCCTGGATCACTGGTCGCCAGACTTCAGGTTGTTATAATTCCTCCATTTTTATCAGTTTTTTTTTCTGATTAGCTTTAATAGGGGCACAGTTAATGTATTGGCTCCTATATAAAACGGTCAAGACGAGTGTTCTGACATATCGAGAAATCTTAATGGTTTTTTTTTCTTGAGAAAAAATTAGAATCGGGGGAAAATCGAAAGAATTCAGCAAGGTCTAAAAGGGTGAAAAGCCAGTAGTAGGTTGAAGATCGGGTAATACGACCTTCATACCCCCCCCCCCCCTAGTGAGAAGTTCGCGTTGTGCTATTCTAATGTTTAAGCGTCATAATTTGTTTTCGAAGTTCTTGGACGAAATTATATCTCCATGATTGTTTAATCCGCTTTTATTCATTTACGGTTTGAAGAAGAGAGATGAAACTAGCACCAATACGGTGTTAGCATAGGTTAGTCGGTAGGGAAAACTCAGTAATGATTTTGAGATCTATTGTTCTCTTCCCACACTTCTCAGACTATGACGCACTACGGATTAGCCATGGTGAAATAGGCAAGGTTCTATATGCTTTTTAGTCGAGCCGAAACATGCGCGATGTAATTAATTAAATTGGAAGCAAAATTGATGGACAAAATATGCAAACCCAACTAAGTGAGTAGAAAATGTAGCAATGGAGTAAAAATGTTTGTTTTTTCCCGCATCTATGCGTGTACTAAAAAAAACGCTCGCTCGGTAATAATGGTAATATGTGAAACAATTATTATATTTGCTAAGTTACTGCCCTCTCCTATTGGTTAGAATCGGCCCGAACGTTTGGACATTCACACTGGAACTCATCTGAATAGCAGAAAAGTGTACTGGAGGTAATAGAAAGTTATCGTTCTTCCCCAATCACTGCATGTTCTTCCGCTTTAATTTCTTCAAAACCGTAATTTTCAAATTGGGTAGCGAGTTGTCTCGCCGTCAAGCCTTAAAGTTACTAAACTATTACAAGATTACTGTTGTGAGGTCATATATTTCATCTTCTCTATACCTGTACTCAACTTCAAATTTAGTAATTTGTGTTGTGTTGTCTATTTCAAAGATGAAGGAGTTTACAAAAAAGTGAGATATTGATGCCTATGCCCACTTCTTTGATGAAGCGAATTAGTCCTTGGACGATTATGAGACGATCAAGTACATAGGCCAACTGAATTCAAAGTGTGTTCTAACTGTCTGCTCATTTTGCAGCTGACTGAATTCGTATCTAATCTTCATAAAATGGTCTTCATTCAAGTATAGTTCTGCTTGAAATTAAAATTCATATAAAGGGAGACTCTTTGATACTTTGACCTTCCTCTCGTACTATTTATGGTCCTCCCTGTGTATCAATTTCCATTTAATTCTATTAATAGGAGTTGTAAATAATATCTTGAATGCGCTTACATCTAGGCTGTGTCAAGTGGGCATGAGGGATAATTTGTAGCTTGTACGAATGTAACAAGTAATTCAATCTTTATACTCGCCAGGCTCATGATGCAGACACCGATGGCGCTGGTAGAGTTGAATTTCAAATCCTGGATTCAAACGGGCAGTCTATGCCGCCGGTATCAATTTCCCGCGGTCTTTACAACGCTCCTCCACCTCAACCGTCACAGCAATCCAAGCATTCTCCTATGATTCTTCAGGAGGAATTAATGGGCTACCGTGTCGGCCCCTTCTACTTGAATGGCTCCACTGGTGAACTGCTAGTTGCTGATCGTTTGGTTCCTCTAAATCTCAAAATCCGTCTCAGAGCTATTGATTGTGGTGACGCCCAGCGACTCTACACAGACACTTGGATGATCATCAATGTTAAGATGGATCCGAATGAATTTGGGGGTTTACTAGGTGGTGGCCAGGTCGGGGCGCTCAATGTCACAATCATTCTTGTAATGATTGCAGTTACAGCAATAATCTCCCTTTTGCTGATTATTGCAATCGTGTGTGTTCGACGGAAACCATCACGAGCTGTAATAGGCAACGGCACAGCGGTAGTAGAATCTGAAGGAAGAATGGTTGCCTATTCTCCAGGAAGTCCATTTTTGATACCAGATTCGAACAAGGAGACCCTATCGGCGAATACTTGGAATGGATCATCAAAGGACTTCTATCCGCCAGGTGGTCTGACGATTGATGAGAATGGTCAGGTCATTTCAACTGGTGGAATGGCTTATGGATCACCTATTCTTGGGTCAGATAAAGCAAGCATCTTTTGCGGAGGAGTTCCTCAGCAGTACGCGTCTCTCGAAGCGAATGGTGATGTTATCAGTGGAACTTTGCCGATGCATACGTTTGGTGTAAGTTTTCTCATTTTACTTAGTCTAGTGGCCTTATTGTCATTTTGCCAAACAACAGCTAATGAAAGTCGGGAACTTTCTGGGATGATGAATCAACATTTTGTAAAGAGTGTACATTTGTTACGAGATGGTGGCCTAAGCCCATCTTTAAACCTTTTGATTGATATAATGCATGGGCTAAGTGGATAACTAAAATGAACTTTTTTTAATCAGTGATAGTTTTGCCTTCTTCACCAAATTACATGAAATAGCTTTTATTCCACACGAGCTCTAACATCTTTCCATGGCATTTGGCCGCGCATTCTAGCAAATTTGAGTCAACAACAGTTATTTTGGTATATAAATTGGTCATATGTTAGTTGCTCAAACTCGAAACTGCACTCGGGGTATTGAAAAACACGTATACTAGTCGTTATTTTAATTTCCCGACACGTTGTTTCAGGCCATGTTGGCCATCTGGTATATTTGGGTGAGGGGGGCATACCACATATCTATTCATTCGTATCTTTTTACAGGCAAGACGGGGTAGAAGAGAATAGAAAGACTAGCTTAACGTAAAAAAGCCTACAAGACCATTTGATCATGCCCATGCTTGCATCTCAGAACACTGTGGATTGCAACAGTTGGCATGGTCTAAGGGCGTCTAATGAGAGTCTTCAAAACGATACCGCGCATAAAAACCTAACCTTTTTAAGCACCCATTTATGATTTTATAAACTATTTTAAATTTATCGTTGGGAATTATGATTGAATGTTGCCATGGCAGAGTGGATTGTTGATATAAGGAACACTGGAAGGGGGATAAACAGGTGATAGTTACCATGACGTATAATGCCTTGAGGTTGTCACTTTTTAAAGCCGTCATAGCTTGACCAGGTTGGCGTCTTCTCTTTGATGTAAAAAACCTGCATTCTGTTTGAAATTTATGATAGTTTGGCAATAAATTGCACATTTTTGTCTACTTCTGAGAAGTATAATACCCACTGGTTAAAAATGATTTCGGAGTTCATTGAATATTTGCTATATCTAGGGATTGAAATTAGGAGATTTCATTAATTAAATGTTGCAATGTACCCTAAGTTCTAGATGAAATTTTCCCACCTTTGTATTTAAGATCTTGATTTTATGTTATTTTTGTCTATTACATTGGTTGGATCCTAGTTTGGAAGGCCGATGAATGGGGGGAGTTCTACTGGAAGCCGATTTTCATTGAACTGCCCGTCTTCTTTCGCGTAATTCAGAAATTCCTGTTAGCAAAATACCTTGAATACAAAACTGCACATGTGTATATACTTATTGTGTTTGTTTTTTCACTGACCTCACGCAATAGTAGAATTTGCGGCAATGATAGATGGCATTGTTTGAGAAGACCATCGCAACTGTTTTTTCTTCTTAGTTAGTGTTCGTCATGCTACCATTGCAAGCATAACTCGTTGAAATGTGAATTGTACCCCATTACGACCATTCTTCCTAAGCTATGGTGCAATAATGGTAGCACTTAGACAATGCAGCCGGTACAGGAACTGACATAACTCGTTTGACAATTTAAGAAAGATTGAGAGGAGGGGAGGGAGGGCTACTGGTGACCGAATATTCCTTTACGTCACAAAGGGTTGAATTAAGCAGAAGCACAATGCTCTTTTGTCCATCAAAAATCGTATATTTTTTTTATTTGAACATGGTTTCGCTTGCAGCGACATGCTTCGATATTTCGAAGAAAAATCAATTTCTTATTGGCTTCAACGCGTCCACTCATTTGCTCTAATGTTGGTATCTTCAAATGTCGTTCCTTTCATGGTGTATTAATCGCAATCTTTTCATAGAAATAAAAGTTCTAAATGATTATATCTGGGGAGGAGGGGTGGTAACTAAAACTATACTGCCCAGTAATGCAATTAGAAGGAATTTTAAAGGGGGAAATTTGAACCAACGAATTCCCCTTACCTCAAATTATTCATGGTACATTTTTCTGCTAAGTGTATTTCAGACTTTTAAGTTGGAAGTAATTTGGAAAATAGTTGCGTTAGGTTTGAGTTCTTCAATCACAATAACTCACATTTGCTCATATTCTCGAAATAACATAAATTGTTTATTGATAGGGTAGATACTGTTTCGAGTCTTCCCAAATATCCACTTTTGTTATTTGAAAATTAGAGGTGAAAACGGTTTATGCCTATCTGAGCTGGCTCCAATTATCTCGTTGTGGCTTTGGGCTCATGTAATTTGTTTTATCATTCTACCACCCTTTGGGCGCCAATTAATTCAGCCTTTTTATACAAAGGAAAACTAGGAAAATCCGTTTGCCAAGTGGCCCTAGTCAAATGTCAAAGGCATATTTTGTGTTAGTCAGCGGCGTCGGGGACAGCGTGGCAACAGATAGAACACCCTAGCAACCCCATGTGAGCGGATATACATAACAAACGCGGAAGTGATGTTATACATATCTTCTCTCCCCCTCCCCCTCCTATTTACCTGCGCCGTCCTGTTTTGTAGTCATTATTTTATCTGTTCGCTCGGTGAGGGGAAACCTGAATATTTTCCCCCTCAAATAGAGATGAATATGAAAATATAACGACTTGACGCTTCAAATTGTTAATAAGAGGAGAGAGAGATAGAGTGGGGAGGGGTAAATAATTCTCTGACCGTGTGGATTGCTATTATTAGCAGGCAGAAATTTTTTGTTTGAATCAAAAAGGTACGAATCAACGCGATTGTGTAGCCCATGAAAGTAGGAAAATGTCAGGGGTAGTCGATGTCAGATCGGGCTTTTTTGCTTGCATATTGGTTGCATTCCGAATTTCATCGAATATCAAGTCATTATTTGACCGAAAGGGGAAAAAAGGTCATGCCCACGAAACCTTTCTTTTCCTTCTCTTGTCCTTCTAATTACTTACCTTTGCAGTGCTGCCTTGCAGAATCAGCCACAAACTTCTCTGTCTGTGATTTTAAATTGGTCGGATTTCATTAAAGCGCAGTCATGTAAGAATAGCCTACCATTGTAGTAATGCAACTGAATTCATTATTTTCAGCCAATGAAAGGCACAATAAATAAAGTACTTTAGGGTAGGGTAAAGTGCCTCATTTTCAAGATTTAGTAAGTTCATGGCCTAAAGAGGGAACGGTGACGATAAGACTGTGAGATTTCTTGCTTTGAAACTTTAATCTACCCTAGGCAAGCATTTGTCTTTCTTTGGTTATAAGAACGTTTTTATCTAATTACTGATTCAATAGCTGCAATTTATGCTAGCATTTTACGAGTGAATGTTCATATTCATCTGAATTTTTAGTAGCCAGTCTGCAATTTATTTCAAATTAGAAAAAAAGTAAATACAAATGATTCAAAGCTTACTTGTTCATTTTCTTTGTTGCTTATTTTCGGAATGTTCATTTAGCATTCATTTTAAATAAGGTAGTAGTATAAAGTAGTACATTCACTGACTAAGTTGATGATAGTGTCTTTTGCAAATAATAAGTAGCATGATTGTTTTTATTTTTGCTTGCTAGCTATTTACAATGCTTCCTCTCGTTTTATAAACGTGTTTTTAATCTGAAATGGAGGGTGAGAGGTCATTACTCCCCGTTAATCCCAAGGCAGATCGTTAGTTAAGTACCGATATCCTAAAGTCTACGTTGGTCGAGCTTTCAAATAGTTAAGTGGGTTAATTAGATTTAAGCAGCTTAAACATTTGACTGAGTTTATATTGTTTTTACTACCTATCAGTACCAACTTTGTGTTATGCTCGGTCAACTATTTTCCATTACCATATTTCAGTGTCACTTTTTATTTTCTCCTGTTATTGCATTTTAGCTGTCAATGTCAGGACGGTGTAGGTAATATTTCAATTCAAGCGTTTGCTTGTAAGTGCTCCTCGGCACTTCCAACCCTTAGGGGACATTAGGAGGATAATTTAAGGGAGGGGGACATTTGTATATTTAGGATAAGAGTGCTTTTTTTCTCAATTTTGCTACCGCTTAGTTTGATTTTGTTTGTTGCCAGTTTTTTCCGCTATAAAACAGAAAACATGAAAGTGTGAATAAAATAAATATGGTACTTATTAAGTAGCAGCAAGCTACACCCCAAATGTCTTTCTGTGATGGTGAACACTAATTAGCGCACGCCTTTCCCAGAGCATATGTTACATATAACCATCACGGGTTTTGTTCGACTTTCAGTTACCAATTGCGGTGTTCAGATTTATTTGTGTTGTATATTTTGTTGATCAATTAATCTCTAGCCACCTCCTACAACTTGGCAAATTGCTTTATTTTATAAGTACCGACCAGTTCTTCATTCGGCGAAAAAGAGGGATTTCGTTCCTTAAGTTCGATCCATTGAACCCACCCTCGGGGCACTTAACTTTAAATTTCCTTTCTTCCACCCAACGCCCATCTAACTCCATGACAAGTGTTGTAAAATTTGTTTTTATGCTTCAATATGCTCCATTAAAATTGCTCGAATGGATAATTCAATATTCACACTTGAAAAAAAAATTGTTAAATATTACGCTTTACTTATGACAACCATTGTGGAAGACCTTAGATGCTTTTTCTTCAGAACCATTACCTTGTTGACAGTTGTGGCAGTTGATGTGTAAATTTCTGTTACTAATGAAGTCTGGGTCCGGTTGCTTAGTTTTGAGAAATTTTGGGGAAATGATATCTACGTGAGTTTTTTTTTAAGATTAGCGTTTCCCCTTGAATACATGATTCCGCAGCTGCCTCATTGGTCTTCAACATTTGGTGTAGAAGGTCTTTGGTGCTCATGCGATAATCATGATAATCATTTGTGCCAGTTACTGTTGCTCTAAGAGAGGTTTGGTGAAATGCGAGTGTCTCAGTGAGGGCTGCATCCACTCCATCTTAAACCGACTTGGAACAAATCCTCCTTCATTCATCAATTTGTAATTTCTGATTCACTGAGCAGTTGTTAATGGGCATCAAAGATCTCTTACTCATCTCATGTGTGTGTACTAGCTAACCTATTTTTTTCAAGGTTTATACTTAAATCCATCAGAAACAAAATCATCACTGAGAAAGTGCTTAGTGTGTGGCTAATTTTATAACCCAAATAATAAAATAAAACACACGCAGTTGTGGCTATTTATTGGAATGTGTTGCGGCGGTTTTGTGAGGAGTGGGGTG